TTGAAACCTAAAACTACACATTTTTCCAAGAATTAACATATTTTTATTATAATTTTCTGAGCACCTTTCCGGTACGCGCTTTTCAAAGCCAGTACCGGTTTCTAGCACCAGTTCTCATTATTTGGACTTGAAACTCGTTTTACAGGTCCTACATATTATTCTAGTAATTATCACGCACTTAATTTAATTTTCCGGGATACTTTTTTGGTACGCATTTATAACGACTAGCAGAACCGGTATCTGCACTTTTCTTCCGAAAAGAGACTTTCCGCATTCTTAATCACTTATTATGATTATTAGGCCTCATAAATAATTATTAGGGTCAATTATGGAATCATTTCCTATTTTTGCATAATTAATTAATTAAATACCTTAATTAACGGTGCGGGTTCTTACACATAACTTACCCAAGGCTCAAAACAGAGTAAAGGATGCTCTTGGAGCTCACCAAACTGACTCCACAGTTCAGACCTCACAACTACACGAAAATGGCATCAAGGGTGGTCTTTTACTTCACAAAATGGCTCCCTGAAGCTACACAAGCCAAGAACAAGACTCCACAACCCCCAAACCAACAAGTCAGCAGCCAAACCTCCCTCACACTCACCCTTAAGCTCAGAAACAAGACCACAACCCCCTACCAATGATGACTCTCACTCTCACCAAGTATTTAGGAGAAGAATTTGTGAAGGAAATGACCTCAAAGCTCAAGAAGTGGAGGAGGAATGCAATGGAACAGTATTTAGAGAACCTCAGCCACCCAAAGTCACGTAGGAAAAGAAGGTCTAGGGTTTTATGCCCAAAGAATGAGTATATATAGTCACTTAAGTCATAAACACACAGTATTATCGCTAATTGTTACGCTTAGCATTTTAATCCCAAACTTAGGAATCTGAACCTATTCATTTTTCTAAGATTTATCATATTTTTATTTTATTTTTCGCAGCACCTTACCGGAACGCGCTTTTCCATAGCCAGTATCAGTTCTGGCACCAGTTCTCATTATTTTAACTTGAAACTTGTTTTACAAGTCCTATATAATATTCTAGGAATATTCATGCACTTATTATAATTTTTTGGGATACTTCATCGATACGCATTTATACCGAGTAGCAGAACCGGTATCTGCACTTTTCGTCCGAAAAACGACTTTCAGCATTCTTAATCACTTACCATAATTATTAAAGCCTCATAATAATTATTAGGGTCAATTATAGAATTATTTCCTAATTCTCACATTTAATTAATTAATTTCCTTAATTAGCGGTGTGTGTTCTTACAGTCACCCCACCTTTTTAGGATTTTGTCATAAAAAATAGAAACATACATGTCCCGAAACTCGGGGTACTGCCGGAGAAGCTCGTCCTCTCGCTCCCAAGTACACTCCTCAGGAGTTCTTCCGGTCCACTACACTTTGACCATCGGAATGATCTTGCTCATCAGCTTTTTCTCGCCACAGTCGAGAATCTTGAGTGGTCCGACGAGAGTTTTCAAGTTCCCCTGAACTTCCACATCATCCGGTTGCACCACGTGCGAAGGATCTGCTACGTACTTCCGAAGCTGAGACACGTGAAACACGTCGTGGATGTTGGCCAAGTTCGGAGGCAAGGCAAGCCGGTAGGCAACAGGTCCTACTCTACCAAGGATCTAGTATGGACCAATAAACCGCGGGCTCAGCTTCCTCACTCCGAGTGCCCGTCCAACACCGGTGACAGGTGAAAGTCTCACAAACACGTGCTCACCCTCACTGAATTCCAGTGGACGATGCTTGACATCGTAGTAACTCTTCTGGCGATTCTGCACTTGCTTCAGTTTCTCACAGATCATCTAAATCTGCAGGGTGGTATCTTGGACAAAGTCTAAGCCAAACAACTCCTTATCTCCAAGCTCAGAACAGCAGGTAGGATTCCGAAACCTCCTACCGTACAACGCCTCGTAGGGTGCCATTCCCAGGCTAGCATGAAAACTGTTGTTATACGAAAACTCAACCAACGCAAAGTACCTATCCCATGCCGAGCCCTGCTCCAACGTGCAAGCCCCGCAACATGTCCTCCAAGGTCTGGATAGTCCGCTTAGTCTGTCCATCAGTCTGAGGGTGATAGGTTGTATTCAGTCTCAACTGAGTACCAAAAGCTTCCTGCAGCGCCTCCCAGAACCGAGATGTGAACTTCGGGTTCCTATCATTAATGATACTCTCGGGCACCCCGTGAAGCCTCACAATCTCGCGAACATAAAGCTTGGCCAACTGCTCTGTAGTGAAGCTTACCTTCACTGGAAGAAAATGGGCAGACTTCGTCAGTCTGTCCACAATGACCCATATAGAGTCACAGCCAACTTGAGTCTTCGGCAAACCCACAACGAAGTCCATGGAAATGTTCTCCCATTTCCATTCCGGAATCTCAAGAGGTTGAAGCTTACCAGACGGCTTCTGGTGTTCAATCTTCACCTTCTGGCAAACCAAACACTTGGACACGTAAACGGAAACATCCTTCTTCATGCCCGACCACCAGAAGTTCTTCTTCAGGTCTTGATACATCTTTGTAGCACCAGGGTGGATAGAGAATTGGCCCTTATGGGCCTCTGCCATAACCTCTTCGGTCATCGGACCTCGAGGAACCACGATCCTCTTCTGAAACAACAGGAGTCCATCCTCATTCCAAGACACACCGTCTTGGTTCTTCACGTAGTCCAGGCACTCTCTCTGCACTTGTGCCTCTATGATCCTTTCCAACAGCTCATTCATAACATCTGCTGCTTCCATCTCGAAAAGTGCTCCCCTACCCGGAGAGGTCACTGCCAGATTTCATAACTTCTCCACCACATCAAAATTACAAAGCAACAAAATGGATAGGTGATGGGACGTAAATTTGTTCCCATCTAAGCCCATTTTGATGGAAAAATACCATATGTTCCCTCATCTGATGAGTAACTTCAGCATGAAAATCACTTGTTTTACACATTTGTGACAAAAACACAGTGGGGGAACGAATGGTAACGTATTCCTTTAAAATATATTAAAAGGGGAACGGACTGAGACGCATTTAATGCACTTGCTCCATTCATTTAATGCTTCTGTGCACTTTGCAGTTGACGTAGGGTTAAAGACTTCTAAAAAGCAAGGCGGTGCACCAACTGAGCAGCTGGAAACGTGAAGAGCAGGGAATCAAGAGTTCTCATTGGCTGAAAACAGAAGCAAAACATGGGAAGGCCTGCAAACTACGGCTAATCATCACCAAACCTTGTTCCATCCAGCAAATTACGCAACTTCCATACTCTGCTGCCACCGTCCCCTCCCCTCATTCAAGCAACTTGCTCCAAAGGATTTACAAGCTTGCTACTCTCCTTCCATCTATAAATAGGACCACCCTAATACAAAAACCTCATCAGATTCTAGAGGGATTAAAGTCCAGAAGGAAGAAGATCACCTAGTAGTAGTAGTAGTTAGTAACTTAGTTTAATTTTCAATTGTAACTGTAGTTAAGTGACAACCCCTTTTCTTTTCTCTGTAAACAACCATCAATACTCCTCACGAGCAAATACCCATCTTTCTCCATTTTCTGTTTCTTTTAGTAAACTGTCTTTTAAATTAATATAAGTGTTTTTCTCTTCGTTGCTATCGTTATCTCTTGCCTGAATCTCGGGTCTATGTGATCTCAGTTGAGAATAATTATGTTTAAACTATTAGCCATGAGCTGAACTATCTGTGGAACGGGTAAACTGTGAAACTCTTAAAGAACTATTTTCAAAACTCTTGACCGAAGCTTTTTGTATTTCTTTGGCTAAGTAAGCTATATTCATTGTGCGCCAATGGAAATTGGGTACATACTAAGAAAGGAACTTCCATAAGGAAGGGATTTCAGACAGCTTAGCCATTGGGGGAAGGTAGATGTCATGGCAAAAACGCTACTGGTCACCTTAGGAATAAGGGGCCAACTCGTCCATTTTAAGGTTCTGAACTAAGTACCTGTTGGAGTCAAGGGAGCCATAGGAATATGGAAACTTGTGAGCCATCTAGACCATAAGCTGAGGAATCAGAGTTGGCAGGAAAAGAAACTGGGACAAAGCCAAAAGGTGCTACGTCTTGAGCAAAGAAAACAGCCCCTTTAAGAGTGAAGCAGTGAATCCGTTCCTTCTGTTAAACTGTTTTAACCACCACCCTATTGTCTCTTGATTATAGTTATTTCTGTTTTAGTAGTTTTATTTTATTTTATTTAATACTTATAAAAACTCCAATGATTGTTATCTCACCTTCTTCTAAACAGGAAGGATCACATACATAACGCAGCGAGCAACTGTTTGCCATCAGATTGAACCTACTGTTCCTGAGGAACGTTGTCAAGACAATAGGGAACGTTTGACCCGACAGTTCATTTACTAACTTTTCTTCTTATTTTCACTCTTTATTAACAGTGATAAAACAATAATTAGCACTCTATCCTCGTGGGAACGATAATTTGGGTATTAATATTCACTTTATTACTTGATGCGTGCACTTGCGCACTTGGGTTGGAACTAAGGGACAAATCTGTGTTCTGCAAGAACAGAGGAACGTCCCCTATCAGAACTTATATTTTCCACCATCAGCAAACCACCCAACAATAGGCTCCCGGATTTCCGGCTCAAAGCATCCGCTACCACATTAACCTTGCCAGGATGGTACTTCAGCTCAAAGTCGTAATCCTTTAGGAAATCCATCCATCTCCTCTACCTCATGTTCAGCTCTTTCTGGTCGAAAAGATACTTCAAACTCTTGTGGTCACTGAACACCACAAACTTCAAACCAAAAAGATAATGCCTCCAAATCTTGAAAGCAAACACAATGGCCGCCAACTCCAAGTCGTGAGTTGGGTAGTTCTCCTCATGAGGCTTCAACTGCCTCGAAGCATAAGCAACAACTCTACTAGTCTGCATCAAAACACAGCCCAACCCCTTTTCAGAAGCATCACAGTAGAGCTCAAACTGCTCATCAGGATCAGGAAGGATCAACACAGGTGCGGTGGTCAATCTCCCTTCAACTCCTGAAAGCAATCCTCACACTCGTGCGTCCACAAAAACGGAGTCTCCTTACGAGTAAGGCGAGTCAACAGTAAGACCATCTTGGAGAATCCCTCAATGAACCTCATGTAGTACCCGACCAAACCCAAGAAACTCCTAACTTCAGAAACAGTTTTGGACCTCGCCCAATCCATCACTGCCTCTATCTTGTTGGGATCCACTGCAACTCCCTCAGCAGAAATTACATACCCAAGGAACTTCACGGACCTAAGCCTAAACTCGCACTTGGAAGGCTTCGCATACAGCTTCTTCTCTTTCAGCACTTGCAGCACAATTCTCAGATGCTCATCATGCTCCTCCTCCGTCTTGGAGTAAATAAAAATATCGTCAATGAAGACGATCACGAACTTATCCAAGTACGGCTGGAAAATCTGGTTCATGTAATCCATGAACACTGCAGGTGTATTGGTGAGTCCGAACGAAATTACCAAATACTCAAAGTGACCGTATCTCGAACGAAATGCGGTCTTAGGGACATCCTCCGGTTTCACCCGAATCTGATGGTATCCGGACCGGAGATCAATCTTCGAATACAAGCAAGCACCCCTGAGCTGATCTAGCAAGTCATCAATACGCGGAAGGGGATACTTGTTCTTGATTGTCACCTTGTTCAACTACCTGTAGTCGGTGCACAATCGCATTGTCCCATCTTTCTTCTTCACAAAGATAACCGGTGCTCCCCAAGGAGACACGCTCGGTCGGATGAAATCTTTCCCTGAAAGATCCTCAATGTGCTTCTTCAGCTCCGCCAACTCTGGTGGTGACATCTGATATAAGGCTAATGAAATAGGCCCCACACCAGGCAATAGATCTATGGAGAATTCTATCTCCCTCTGTGGCAGAAACTCAGGAATCTCCTCAGAAAACACCTCAAGGAATTCCCTCACCACAGGAATGCCAGCGATATCCTCCTGTGCCCCACTCACCAAACCTCCCAACATGACATAGCCAAATGCCCCTACTCTCAAGGCTCTCCTAGCCTGTAGCAATGAAATATACGGCGAGGAACTGACTGTGGATTCACACGGAGACATCACAACACGCTTTGCACAACAGTCAATCATCACACAATTTCTGGACAACCAATCCATGCCCAGAATAATCTCCAAGTTTGCCATCGGCAATCCTATCAGATCTACCGAAAACTCACGGCCATCCCACTGAAACGCTATATCGCGGTGAACAGTGGTAGAATCACACTTTTCTCTGCTGGCGGTGGTCACCCGCAACGGTGGAGAAAGCACAGACATGGGCAACTCAAGCTCCACAGCAATCGGGGTAGCAATGAAAGAATGCGTAGCCCCAGAATCAAACAAAACATCAACTGATGATCCACCAATGATAACAGTACCTCTGACAAGATTCGGAGCTCTGTCCGACTGCTGACGATCTAGGGTGTAAACTCGCCCAGTAGCAGGTGGCACTGCAGGTGCCACTGGTGGTGGAAGGGGAACCATCTGCAATAGAACTGCCTGCATAGCTGTAGCTCTCGCCGTAGAAGACGGACAGTCTCTGGAAAAGTGGCCCTCCTTGCCACACTGGAAGCATATCAACTAACCTGAAGAACACCGCCCGAAATGAGTTTTCCCACATCCTGAACATCTGGGAGCGGGAGGTCTCGCTGCACTCCCTTGAGCAGAAGTCCTCTTAAACTGATTTGGCACTTGTCGAGCCGCCATCTGCTTTCCCTTACCTTTGTTCCCAAACTTCCTGTCCCGCCAAGAAGTGGAACTACCAGCTACATTCGTCTCAGCGACCTTGGCCCTCTTGGCCTTACTCGAGTTGCAGAAGTCCTCGATATCTCGACACTGCTGCACCAGTGTCCCGAAGTCTCTAGAAGCAGAACCAGCCAGGTAACCAGCAATATCCTCACTAAGTCCCTTGTGGAACTTAGCAGCCAAGAAGATCGGAGTAGGCCTCTTCATCCGAAAATGTGCAAATTTCACTAACTCATTAAACTTGGCCAGGTACTCGTCAACAGACAACGAGCCCTGCACCAACCTGTCGAATTCCCCTTGCTTCCACTCCTGAGCATCATACGAGAAATACCGACCCAGGAAACAGTCCTCAAAGAATGGCCAAGTCATCACATGACCCTGCATCTCAAAAGCATGAGAGGTGTTCGTCCACCACTCATGGACATCGCCCTCCAGCATATAGGTCGCGAACATCAACTTCTGCGGATCTGAACACTGCATGACCTGGAAGATCTTGTCCAATGCCTGTAGCCATCTCGCCGCAGCAATAGGGTCATAAGACCCATCAAACGAAGGTGGCTTATGCTTGCGGAAAGCATTAAGCCGGCGATCAATCACATCACGGTCTTCCGCAGACCAACATAGGGTTCCATCACCCCAGTAGCATGACCAGTGCCCTCAGCATGGCTCTGGCTGTCGTCCTGCAGACTAGGTGGAGGCGGCGGTGGAGGTGGTGGCGGTGGGAACTGACCAACAGCAGGACCAGTTCTCATCTCCTCCAACATGACCCTCATCATGGTCATGTTTGCCAAACGGTTCGCCTCGAGAGCATCCTCTGAGGCCTTCCGGTTCGCTTCCCTAATAGCGTCCATCATTGCCACGTTGGCCAATCTAGCGGCCTCCTGCATCTCAGCTAATGCAGTCAGGATCAGGTCGGGTTGACCCTCAGCAGTCTCGCGGGTGCTCCTGAAGTTTACCATGACTCTGCACAAGTTGCACAAATTATGACTTGATCAGGCCCACGCAATGTGATCACAAATGCATTATCATAACAAAACCCAACGGAGCAAACACACAAGACAGACACAACCAAACATCTTAGTTATTGCAATACATACAGGCTTGTCCCTAGAACCTTTGCTTTGATACCATAAAATGTAACACCCCGTGTATACCCGGTTTGTTAACATGTCATCGTATTAAGCCATGCTTAATTAAAATTGCTGAATATCTTTTTCTTTTCAATTATGACGTCATAATCCTTACCAAGTTGAATTACTTAATTCATTTCAAAACATTGCCTGTATGTAAATTGCAAAATACAGCTAACTGAAATACCTCAATATAAAATTAACATCGATATGTCTCTAGTCACAGAACTACAACACGTAGACCGGACAACCCTGATATTTTATACAACTCAAGCTAAAAGTACTAACATCAATGTGGCATGGACAAACCCCATGCTCACCCAATAAGGCAACAAAGCCCACAAAAGTCTCAACAACAACAACATAAAAATAACAAGCTAAAAGCATAACATCAGCAGATAAAATCCAGCATCCAAACATGTCAGCATATATCATCAATATCAGCTAAGCTCCGGCCTCCTGCCGCTAGAGGCATCAGCCCCCAAGTTATCTGAACCTGAAATAAGCGTCCCCAAACGTGAGGTGAGATCTCTAAACAAGAAATCTCAGTAAGATAAGGGGTCCTCAAGGATCTTCCACCCCAAGCTCACTTACATGTGCAATATAAGTTCAAAAACATTTAACAGTATAAGTTTCAAAACTATGCAGTGTAACAGATATTCATGCTATGTGTGTTTTAACTATTCTACTGGCCAGAGAAATGCAGGAATACGTCTATTACCTACAGTTAGTACAAGGAACACCGCTTGCACCTCACCCACAACCTCACCCTATTGTATGTACCACATACTCAGGCTTACCATATAGGTGGAACACCACATGCATATCATAAAGGCACTCGCATATAACAGCTAAACAGCATTTCACAAACCAATATATCATGAAAACAACATCATGCATATAACCATACCCCCATGGGACAATGGTGGAACCAACAATGGCTAAACCGAGGATACGAAAGCTTACCTTGCAAGCTAGCTATTCAAGCCAAGAGTCCACACAATCTCAAAGTCCACAAGCAGCAAGATCACAATCTGTTTAGACCAATTATAACATCAATATTCATACTCAATAAGCATACTAAAAAAGACAACGACTTTCTCTTATGTTTTACGTCTTTAGGCTCCTCACAAAGCCACAAGCCCTTAATCAATTAGATTCTGACTTAGTTAATTATTACAGAGGTTCAACATAACCCATCATGGGTCCACAAACCCATAAATATCATTCTGAAAGAACAGTGCAGCCATTGTTCTTCGAAAACCCAGAATATCCGGATATTTTTCGGGGACATATCCGGATATCAATATCCGGACATTTCCACACCCCATATCCGGATATCCAGAAACCCATATCCGGATATTAATATCCGGATATCATTATCAGGATATTTCATGATAGAAAGCAGTTTTACATTTTCGCGAAGATATCCCTTCAAGGTTCCATTTTTAACACTACAACACGTTAAAACATGCATCTCTAAGTTCATATACCAGTTTGTTACTTGTTTAACTCATTAAACATACCAAGACTCATCTTTTAGCATATACAACTCATGATCAAAGGTTGCACAACTTACCCAAGGCTCAAAACAGAGTAAAGGATGCTCTTGGAGCTCACCAAACTGACTCCACAGTTCAGACCTCACAACTACACGAAAATGGCATCAAGGGTGGTCTTTTACTTCACAAGATGGCTCCTTGAAGCTACACAAGCCAAGAACAAGACTCCACAACCCCCAAACCAACAAGTCAGCAGCCAAACCTCCCTCACACTGACCCTTAAGCTCAGAAACAAGACCACAACCCTCTACTAATGATGACTCTCACTCTCACCAAGTATTTAAGAGAAGAATTTGTGAAGGAAATGGCCTTAAAGCTCAAGAAGTGGAGGAGGAATGCAATGGAATAGTATTTAGAGAACCTCAGCCGCCCAAAGTCACGTAGGAAAAGAAGGTCTAGGGTTTTGTGCCCAAAGAATGAGTATAAATAGTCACTTAAGTCATAAATGCACAGTATTATTGCTAATTGCTACGCTTAGCATTTTAATCCCAAACTTAGGAATCTGAACTTACTCATTTTTCTAAGATTTATCATATTTTTATTTTATTTTTCGCAGCACCTTACCAGTACGCGCTTTTCCATAGACAGGATCAGTTCTGGCACTAGTTCTCATTATTTTAACTTGAAAATTGTTTTACAAGTCCTGTATAATATTCTAGGAACATTCATGCACTTATTATAATTTTCTGGGATACTTCATCGGTACGCATTTATACCGAGTAGCAGAATCGGTATCTGCATTTTTCGTCCGAAAAGCGACTTTCAGCATTCTTAATCACTTACCATAATTATTAAAGTCTCATAATAATTATTAGGGTCAATTATGGAATTATTTTCTAATTCTTACATTTAATTAATTAATTTTCTTAATTAGCGGTGTGAGTTCTTACAGTCATCTTCTTCTTCAGCATTGGTGTGGAGAATCTTCATCTTTGGCTTGCGCTTTTGATGCGCGCTTCTCTTTCTTCGTGTTTTCTTATTTTTTTTTTCTTTTTTCTCGCTTTAACAGCTCAGCATCTAAGCATCTCTTAAAAATAAGAGATTAGAGCATCCATCAATTTGGGCCGGATCCATCATAGGCCACGAACCGAACAAATCTCCCACATATGCCAATGAGGGAGGATATCCAAACTCCCCTTCATCCAGGATATATGGTTGGGGTAGTCAACTCGGCACCTTTTGCAGCAATATTCAAACTTCCATGTTGGAACCGTCTTGGTCATCATGTCTTACCAGTTCAGATCGGTATGCACCTTATCAAGCTGTAAGAACTTCTCTTCTATCACATATCAGATCCAATGGTACTCCACATCATTATGCTTTGACCTTGCATGAAATATTGAGTTCTTAGCTAAATGTGTAACATTTTGTTTATCACACTATTGCACATACTTCTCTTGATTATGGCTAAGCTCTTGTAAAAAGCTATTCATCTATACTAGCTCCTTACAGGCTCCAGTTCCAACAATGTACTCGGCCTTGATAGTAGATAAGGCGACACATTTCTGGAGTTTTGACTGCCAAGAAATAGCTCCCTCTATAAAAGTAGTTAGGTATCTTGTGGTCGGCATCCGAGTACGTTTCTAACTTGGGTTTTCTTCTCCCAAAGCACAAACTTATATTTATTGTGTCTTTGAGATATATGAATATCCAT